CCCCAAAACCCCAAAACCCCAAAACCCCAAAACCCCGACAAATGATGATTATGTTGATTATATATTAATATGTTTATCTTCCTCCTCTTCCGCGCATTCCACGGCCCATCTGTGGTTGCTTTCCTTGAAGAGCAGCCATACGTCTGGCTTCATTTTGATCTTGCTCACTTGAAGGATTCTTAACTGTCTCGTCAACACTCAAAATTCTACAAGCAGCTTCAGTTGCAGCAACGAGTACATTAATTCTAACTAGTTCTGGCTCCCAGATAAATTGTTCGAAAGTGTCTCCGACTCTCTCATTAAGAACATCAACTCCGTACCACATTCCTTCTAAGACTTCTCCAACGTTGTGTTTCTGTCTAAGCTTGTTGACGATTTCAGTAGCATCCATTCCTGAATTGTCAGCAAGAGTCTTTGGAATTACCTCCAAAGCCTTTGAGAAAGAACTGATAACTAATTGCTCTTTACCAGAGATAGTTCTCAAATAACCTCTCAAGTGTCTGGATAGCTCCATTTCGATGGCGCCACCTCCAGCAACGACAGCGTAAGCCTTGATAGCTCTTCTTACGATCATGATAGCATCGTTGAGAGATCTAGCAGCTTCCTCAATGAATTGCTGAGCTCCTCCTCTAAGGATAAGAGTCACACTCTTAGCTTGCGGGCATCCAGTGAACATGTTGAATCTCTCGTCTCCGATCTGAATTTCCTCGAACTTTCCGCAAATTCCGAGGAAATCAGTGGATCCAGCAAGGGTTGTCTGGATCTGGGCTCCAGTAGCAGCTGAGACTCTCTTGAGATCTTCAATGTTTACTCTTCCTGCACAGAAGAGTCCTCTGTCAGCAAAGTATTGAGTTGCCAGATCTCCAATTGGTAACTTAGAGAGGACGACCTGAGCTCCGGATTCGACGATCTTCTCTAATTTGTCATAGATGATTCTCCATTCAGCATCAACAATGGCTTGATATTCCTCTGGGTTTTCAATTCTGATCTCAGCATTTTCTTTCTCGCTCTTAAGTTCTAATTCCATATTAAGGAGGCAGATCTTGGCATTTTCAAATTGCTTCTTCTGTTGCTCGAATCCAGCGTAAGAAAAAGTCTTCTTAAAGGCAACACCTTCAACAAGCATAGAGTCAGTGACGCTACCACCAGTGACCTTCTTGATACCAATCATTTTCTTGTTAAGGTCATCATCAAGATGGCTGACAGCATCGACTACCATATCTGCGAAGAATTCCTTATAGCTATTAATAAGTTTTGAATTGAGACTAGTTATTGCGCATTTCTTGAGCATGTCCCTTTTCTCTTCTTCATCCTTATCATGTAGCTTGACTGAGATCTCTCTGATTCTATTGACAGCTTCAGTCATTGCTTTCCTCAATCCTCTGATAATGATTTGAGAGTGCATTCCCTCCTCAATGAAAGTCTTGGCTTCCTTCAAGAGTTCTCCAGCAAGAAGAGTGACTGAGGTGGTTCCATCACCTACTTCGTTATCCTGACTTCTAGCAATATCGACAAGAGTTTTGGCTGCAGGGTGTACAATATCTAGAAGAGATATGAGAGTGGCTCCATCATTGGAGATGGTCACATCTTTCTCAGTATGGATGAGTTTATCCATTCCCCTTGGACCTAGAGTAGTCCTAATGACGTCAACTACAGAGAGGCAGGCATTGATGTTTGAGATGATCTGTCCCTTTCCTTGAGACTCATCAGTTCCATCCTTAAGAACAAGGATGTTTGGATTCAACATAAAACTCATCTTTTTGGATTTACAAATTAATTGTATAGAATATTCAAATTTGTCACAAATTTTGGGGTTTTGGGGTTTTGGGGTTTTGGGGTTTTGGGG